AGCTGGAGCAGAACCTGGTCTGGTAGCTGGAGCAGAACCTGGGTCTGGTAGCTGGAGCAGAACCTGGTCTGGTAGCTGGAGCAGAACCTGGTCTGGTAGCTGGAGCAGAACCTGGGTCTGGTAGCTGGAGCAGAACCTGGGTCTGGTAGCTGGAGCAGAACCTGGTCTGGTAGCTGGAGCAGAACCTGGGTCTGGTAGCTGGAGCAGAACCTGGGTCTGGTAGCTGGAGCAGAACCTGGGTCTGGTATCTGGAGCAGAACCTGGTCTGGTAGCTGGAGCAGAACCTGGTCTGGTAGCTGGAGCAGAACCTGGGTCTGGTAGCTGGAGCAGAACCTGGGTCTGGTAGCTGGAGCAGCATAAGTGTATCGTTTGAGTGTTTAATCATGCAGAGGATCTGTAGCGTTGTGCTAGCTGTACGGTTTTGAAAATCGTGCTGAAGTAATCCAGAAGAACTGTAAAGGTCATGTTGGGACACCAACCTTTGCAGTCTGAAGACACTCACGCTGCGTGGCTGGTTCTATAACACCTGAGGGTCCGTGGCTTTTCCAGCAGAACAGATGTTATGTGGGATAGGGATCGCTCGGCAAGCCAGACTAAATGTATTATTTTAATATTATTTATCAAACTTTGCAAAACAAGAACTTGGTCTGGTTCCTTAGGCTAGGATTAAGGAATAAGGAATGTTGGAATGATTGGAGGATAATCTAGGAAGACCTGAGTAATAACCTGATGAACGGTAAAAGAGCTTCCACACATCAGAACAGCTGCTCCCAGCTCAGCGACCAAGGATGAACTCTAAAGATCAGCTGCTCTAAATGAGCCTGAAGCTCAGAGGAGCTGTAGGGTAGAAGTAAAGAAGGGCAGGGCCAACGTCAGCAGCTGTCCTACGCCTCGTGTGAAATGCTTCAAGTCAATTTGACTTGTTATATTTGACAGGTTAGAACAGTCTCATGTCAGTCGATCCCAAAGCTGCTGAACTTAAACTCAGTGAGTCTGTTTTACTGAGGTGTGTTTGGGGCTCAGGTGCATCGTCCTGCAGGACCAGGTAACGTCTGACAGATCTGTTCTCTCGTTAATTTAGTTATTGTATGAAAACAGCTTTTTATATTTATTCAGGTCGTCTCTGACACTGAAACTAGTTTACTGGTCTGAACAAACGGTAAATGGCCTATCCAGCCCACACACACACACACACACACACACGCGCGCGCACACACACACACACACACACACACACACACACACACACACACACATGCACGCACACGCACGCACAGGTGGTGATGATCTGCCTTGGGACACACTGACAGGAGAGGCAGCCATACACCAGCAGCACTAGTCCCTCCAACCACCAGCTGGAGGGTGAAGCGTCTTGCCCAAGGACACAGCAGCGACAGACTGAACGGCACTGGAACCTGCAACCCTTCAGTTATGGTGCTGGTACTTAACTTCACCATTGGCCAACAACTTTTTCCCAGCATAGCTTATTTCTGGTGTTCTGCTAGTATTCCAGAGGAAGTCAGCACCACGCTGCGAAGAGATCCATTCCTGCTGCGTCAGCGTTTCAGAGCCAGATAGTCTCCTACAGTTCCAGGGCTTTTGTGCTGAACTTGTCTACATTAAAGCAGCAACTCCAGTGTAGCACTCCTCCTCCAATGTGAGACAGACTCTGGCAGGCAGGCCATGTGTGGAGCTGTTACCATGGAAACCAGTCAACGATGTGAAAAGAAGAAAAGAAGTCAGATGCTTGAAGTATGACTGAAGGGTTTAGAGTTGAGGATTCCTTGTGTCTGCCTGATGGTGAGTAAAAACTACTCTGTTATGATTTCTGGCCAACCAGAACTTGACACGTTTCTGAGTATTTACCAGCATCCCTCAGGAAGCCACGCCCTCCTCAGATACAAAGATGTTTTAACCTTAATGAGTGTGTGTGTGTGTTCGCGTGTGTGTGTGTGTGTGTGTGTGTGTGTGTGTGTGTGTGAGGTCTGGTGATCCTGAGGGAGTTGCAGCCTCAGGTTCCTGTTCCTGACACGCTCTCTTCTCCTCAGGTGTTTGAGAGACGAAGCCTTACATCAAAGTGGGTGAGTTTAACTGATCACTTCCTGTTTCCTGTTCACTTTGCCGTCAGTATCAGTGCACGTGCTAGAATCTCACAGGTGGTCTGGCCATCAGAGGAAGGCTGGGCTGCAGGATTTAGTCTCCTCTTATTCTGTGGACCAGCTCAGATTCCTGAGCATTAGTGTGAGCAGACAGCGCCCCCTGCAGGCTGCAGACTCCACCAGCCTGTTCCCCAGAACGCTCAGCCTCTACTCTCTCCTTCCTGGACCCACGCAGCCTCCGTCGCTGTGCCCAGGTACAGAGCTCAGTAGGTTTGGGTTTTGTGATTCTGGTGAGTCTGAACGAGTCCAGCCTCCGTGTGAAAGGTGAGCTGGCACCGGAGGAGCCTGGTGGAGCTGGACCGGCTGGCTGGGCTGGTGCATCACCTTCTCCCCCCCTGCCTTTGAGCAGAGTGTCTGGAAGAGACGCTACGTCCAGACAGTCCAGGAGCTGAAGCTCAGCCTGCAGCAGGTCAGAGCTGCTCCAGAAAGAGCTCTCCTCGTGTTCTTCTAGAAAATAAAAGGCAAAGACTCACACTGTGCAGCTTGATGTTCTACTCTTTTTGTCTCCAGACACAACTCTCAAAGCCACAGCTGATGGCTCCTGCAGGCCCCAAAGAGCCACCAGAATCAGCTCACATCAACCAGGACCTTCTGGTTTCCAGCACCCAGAGACCCAAGTCCAGGTCAGGGTTAGAAATGGAGCCGCCTGCAGACGCGTCACCATCGAGACTCTGGCAGGCATCCCAAAGACACCATACCTGGACAACCTGGACCCTGTGAAGGCGGAGCAAGACCTCACTCACATTCAGCATCATGAACCAAAACATCTAAACCTAGACCTGTCTGGATCAACAGATGAACAACACCAGGACTCTGCAGGAATGGTGTACCAAACATGTCCTTTCTGTTGGAGCATCACTATCCAAGAGGAATGACTAGCTTTTAGTATAAACATTTACATTTTTCCCATTTGACTCCATCAGCTTGAGGTTAGTGGATGAATACGTGTCTTCAGGTGAACCTGCTTCCTGCTTCCTCTCCTCAGAAGAGGGAGGCTCAGCTCCTGCACCTGCAGCACATCCAAGACAGAAGACAGCAGGAGGAAAACGGTCTAAAGCTAAGTCCCTGGTGAAATGGTCCTCCATCCATCAGTCCCGTCCCACGGTGGGATGGGAAGAGCACGTAGCATTCCCTGGAGGCGATGCAAGCAGCAGGCCTCATGCATGATGGAGCAGCTCCACTCTGGAATTCTGATGTAGGCCTGTAAGGAGAATACTAATGTCTCGTCTTCTCAGACGTTCCTCAGCTCCAGCTCTCTGGAAGCTCCTGATCCACACCACCTCAGCCAAACGCAGACCCCACCATGGGCATCACGCTCTCCAAAGCCCCCCATCCTCACCAAGAGCCTTCTCAGCCTGGCCCAGGGGACGGCTGGGATCTGACCGAGGCCGGTGAAGACTCCTTTACCTCGCTCGAGTCTGGAGATACCCAGGGCATCCCGGCGTTCCTACAGAAGCCTTCCCAGTAAGTGTTCACACTTCCGCTGCTCCTCCGGGCAGTCTGATGCAACCTCGTGGTAAGACACACCGAAGGCAAACAGGAAGCTGTGTGCGGTTTGTGGCCTGATGGGAGTTTGATTCGGAGCAGCTCTTCCCTTGATGGGAATGTCGTTTTCATTCCTTCTGCTCATTTAGGCATAAACAAGTACAGAGCCACAAAGAACCATGAGAACCACCACCATCTTCTACTGGTGCCCCCACACACCCCAAATCTCTGATCATCTGCCGTTTTCACCACAGGCGCACCAGTGTCCACTGTCTGAGGACCACACAGGACAAGCGTCCACAGCTCCCACCGGGACAAGCGTCCACAGCTCCCACCGGGACAAGCGTCCACAGCTCCCACCGGGACAAGCGTCCACAGCTCCCACCGGGACAAGCGTCCACAGCTCCCACCGGGACAAGCGTCCACAGCTCCCACCGGGACAACAGCAGCAGTTCACTCCTGCTGGACGCCACTGGAAACTAAACACATTTGTTTATTAAATGATTTCATCATAATTGTTTTTCTTAACGTGAGACACCCTGGACAGGTCTCCAGTCCATTACAGGACACATAACCAGTCTCTCTCTCTCTCTCACACACACACACACACACACACACACACACACACACACTTTATCCTTGTGTGGACCCTCTTTTGACTTCCATTCCGTTTAGTGACTCCACTAACCCAACCCGTACGGTTCTATTCCTAGCCCTAACCTACATCCATCCATTTTCATCCGCTTATCCGGTGTCGGGTCGCGGGGTCGGTAGCCTAAGGTGAGAGGCCCAGACTTCCTTCTCCCCAGCCACTTGGGCCAGCTCCTCCGGGGGAATCCCAAGGTGTTCCCTGGCCAGGTGAGAGACATAGTCCCTCCACTGTGTCCTGGGTCTACCTTTAGGTCTCCTCCCGGTTGGACGTGCCCGGAAAACCTCACCAGGGAGGCGTCCAGGAGGCATCCTGACCAGATGCCCGAGCCACCTCAACTGGCTCCTCTCCATGTGGAGGAGCAGCGGAGCTACTCCCTCACCTACAACAACTTAATTGACACCATTCGTCTAAAACCACGTTTAAGGGTTTTGACCGTGTGGACCAGCCAGATGTCCCCACACCAGTTTAAAAGTTAAATGTGTCCACTTCAGCACAGGAAGACAGATTTTCCACTGCAAGGCTACGGCGACTCACTTCAGCACCACGAAGCCCTTTCATCCCATTTCTGCTTCACGGGTCACGAGGACTTGCTGCACACCCCTGAAGACAAACGTGTGTGTGTGTGTGTGTGTGTGTGTGTGTGTGTGTGTGTGTGTGCGTGTGTGTGTGTGTGTGTGAATGGGGGACTAAGAAAAAGTCAAGAGTTCTTTTTAAGAAGGTACCACCTTTATTATCCACAACAGTTCAGTATGCAGCCACACGGGTAAAAGCAGATAAACATGTCCGACTCCACAGAGTAAACACAAACAAGCACAGCTCAACAGGCAGATTGTCCAACGTAGAACTTATAGGAACCGGATGGAACATTCGGAGGCTGCAGGGTGGACGTCCTCATGTCTTTAGTTAAACCCACAGAACAAGGTCAGAAGGTCAAGGAAGTCTCCTACGCTTCATTTCTGTAAAACGTGGCAACAACCAGACCGCGACCCTGGCGGGAGATGGGAAACTAGCAGCACAGCTGTGACCCCAAAGCCTCCACGTCACCCACAGCAACCTTCAGTCTCAGGGGAACGTGTCCTGTAGACCCGAGAGGCGACAGGTCAGCAGGCTCGCGAGCCGCTTCGGGTGATTCAGAAACCTGAGTTTGTTCACGCAGAAGCAAACTTCTTCTGAACTTCACTTACAAAATTCTAATGTTTAAAAACTATTTGGCCACATTAAAGGATAACGAAGGTTCCTGTAAAAATACGTCATTTATTAGGAATTAAATAGTTTTGGTCTTTCTGTTAAAGGAACAGTTCACCAGAAACGCTTCGTTGTTTATGAGGTGAATAAAAAAATCACCTCGTTTTACAGAAAGCTCAGAATGTGACTGGACGTGCACGCACGTCTGCGCTACAGCTGTGCACACACACGTCTGCGCTACAGCTGTTCACACACACGTCTGCGCTACAGCTGTTCACACACACGTCTGCGCTACAGCTGTTCACACACACGTCTGCGCTACAGCTGTTCACACACACGTCTGCGCTACAGCTGTTCACACACACGTCTGCGCTACAGCTGCTCACACACACGTCTGCGCTACAGCTGTTCACACACACGTCTGCGCTACAGCTGTTCACACACACGTCTGCGCTACAGCTGTTCACACACACGTCTGCGCTACAGCTGTTCACACACACACGTCTGCGCTACAGCTGTGCACACACACGTCTGCGCTACAGCTGTGCACACACACGTCTGCGCTACAGCTGTTCACACACACGTCTGCGCTACAGCTGTTCACACACACACGTCTGCGCTACAGCTGTTCACACACACACGTCTGCGCTACAGCTGTTCACACACACACGTCTGCGCTACAGCTGTTCACACACACGTCTGCGCTACAGCTGTTCACACACACGTCTGCGCTACAGCTGTTCACACACACGTCTGCGCTACAGCTGTTCACACACACGTCTGCGCTACAGCTGTTCACACACACGTCTGCGCTACAGCTGTTCACACACACGTCTGCGCTACAGCTGTTCACACACACGTCTGCGCTACAGCTGCGCACACACACGTCTGCGCTACAGCTGCGCACACACACGTCTGCGCTACAGCTGTTCACACACACGTCTGCGCTACAGCTGTTCACACACACGTCTGCGCTACAGCTGTTCACACACACGTCTGCGCTACAGCTGTTCACACACACGTCTGCGCTACAGCTGTTCACACACACGTCTGCGCTACAGCTGTTCACACACACGTCTGCGCTACAGCTGTTCACACACACGTCTGCGCTACAGCTGCGCACACACACGTCTGCGCTACAGCTGCGCACACACACGTCTGCGCTACAGCTGCGCACACACACGTCTGCGCTACAGCTGCGCACACACACGTCTGCGCTACAGCTGTTCGCACACACGTCTGCGCTACAGCTGTTCGCACACACGTCTGCGCTACAGCTGTTCGCACACACGTCTGCGCTACAGCTGTTCACACACACGTCTGCGCTACAGCTGTTCACACACACGTCTGCGCTACAGCTGTTCACACACACGTCTGCGCTACAGCTGTTCACACACACGTCTGCGCTACAGCTGCGCACACACACGTCTGCGCTACAGCTGCGCACACACACGTCTGCGCTACAGCTGTTCGCACACACGTCTGCGCTACAGCTGTTCACACACACGTCTGCGCTACAGCTGTTCACACACACGTCTGCGCTACAGCTGTTCACACACACGTCTGCGCTACAGCTGTTCACACACACGTCTGCGCTACAGCTGTTCACACACATGTCTGCGCTACAGCTGTTCACACACACGTCTGCGCTACAGCTGTTCACACACACGTCTGCGCTACAGCTGTTCACACACACGTCTGCGCTACAGCTGTTCACACACATGTCTGCGCTACAGCTGTTCACACACACGTCTGCGCTACAGCTGTTCACACACACGTCTGCGCTACAGCTGCGCACACACACGTCTGCGCTACAGCTGTTCACACACACGTCTGCGCTACAGCTGTTCGCACACACGTCTGCGCTACAGCTGTTCGCACACACGTCTGCGCTACAGCTGTTCGCACACACGTCTGCGCTACAGCTGTTCACACACACGTCTGCGCTACAGCTGTTCGCACACACGTCTGCGCTACAGCTGTTCGCACACACGTCTGCGCTACAGCTGCGCACACACGTCTGCGCTACAGCTGTGCACACACACGTCTGCGCTACAGCTGTTCACACACACGTCTGCGCTACAGCTGTTCGCACACACGTCTGCGCTACAGCTGTTCACACACACAGCTGCACTGGGCTGGAATAAAAAATACCAGCCTGACAAGAAATAAGAGACATTATCAAACGATCAGCTGTTTAAACGGGACTCTACCAAAACATTTACTCTTCATCAGGAAGTTCCACTAAATAATTTAATTCTCCACTAAAATGCTGCTGTTCAGCAGGTCGGCTTGGCAGCTTCCCCCGGAGGAGTTTCTACAGTAAAGCTGATTGGTTCTCCAGCAGCAGGTCAGCTGATGTTCGAGACTGGAGCGGATAACCGTCAGGTCTGAGTGACTTGGAGGGAGGGACTTTCCAAAACACACTAAAGTCTTCTTAAATAATGTAAACATGTACATCTTAATGGGAGGTCAGAAAAACGACACTCCCCATTTCTATTTATAGAAAACAAAACACTAAAGTATTACTGGAGCATCGCCCGGATGTTCTTCGGAGTGGACTCGTCGTTCAGGTGTTTTGTGGTGAATCTGAGGAGACACGAGGACAGAGTTAGGACAACGTCTCAGAAACAGACAAACACCTCCCTAGCCTCTACAGGTGTGTGTGTGTGTGTGTGTGTGTGGGGGGGGTTCTTCGCTAATCTTCCTGGTTCTGACATCACAATAAGGAACACCAAACTCTGACAGAAAACGGTTTTCATAAAGGCAGCAGAGACCCGCGAGGCCGGACAGAAGGATGCAGAAGACAAGGACCGTCACAACACAACAAAAGCTGCCAAACCTTCAGATATGATGATGCAGACCTTTAATGGTCTTAGTTTGGGGAGGGGGACAAGGGGTGTACATCTTTTCTGGAGGGGTGGCCAGTGCCCCTCCCCCCGCCTGACCAGGTGGACGTAGCTGCAGGCTAGCAGAAGAGCGTCATGATGCTAAGGAGAGCAGAAACGTCCACGTCCTAGCCCGTCTACAAGTCATCACGTTTATGTTGAAATAACTATGAACAGGGTTTGCTCTGGTTAGCATGCTAAGCTAATGGAGGTTAGTGATTATTTTTAGTGTGTTGCTCTGAACAGACCCATGTCACAGCATCAATCATACATTCAGGTGTTAGGAGTGATGATCAGGCTTATACTGGCCAGAAATGGAAGTCCATCAGCCCCACCATGAATAACCTTCACCAGCAGCCACTGGTGGTGCGGCCCAGGAACAGGAACCTACTTGAGTGCGTTCAGAAGGCCCTCGACATTGTCTGCTGGCTGGTCCTTCAGAACTTTTATGCAACCCTTCATCTGAAAAACATGACCAAATCATTTCAATAGAAAGGATGTTGGTGCTCCAGTTACAGAACCTGCACAGAGTTCATGTCTTACATCGATCTTTGAGGACTTGTTAAAGGCGCCGTTAGGGTGGACGTGGTCATAAAGGATGATGACTCCAACCATCACCCTCATGCAAAACAAGAGCGTTTCATTGCTGCTGAAGCGACTCGAGTACTCCCTAAAAAGCCACAGGAAGAGGAACTGGATCAGAGAACGAGACCTGGATCTAAAGGTGTGCAGACTTGTGAAGTCCAAAACACCAAATGGCTTCTGAGAGTGTGAGGATAAAGACTCACGGCGTCTCCAGCATGACCTTGCAGACGCTGGCCATGGTGCTGAGGCAGTCGGTCGTGTTATCCAGTGGAAGAGTTTTGTTCTACGCACACGAGATCAGAATCATTATTACAGATCTATTAAAACTATTAGCTACGTCTTTAATCAAAAATGAGGGTTCTGTCATATTTACAGGATTCTTACAGGTTTTCCACACTTTAAGAATTTTCTATGTAAATTTCCCAACTTTTCAAGCACCGTACGGCAAAAACAACACAACACATAAGGAATACAGAGAAGTTTCACCTCATGTCACATTTATCGGTCCTGTCCAATCACAGGACTGGAACTTGGGCCGGACCATGTGATCTTGAATGATTGGAATCAGGTGAAGCGCCATGTTTAGGCAAAAGGATCGCTCTCGAGTTTTTGTTGGTTGGTTGATCTTATTTACAAAACTGTTCAGTTTATTTCTCAAGCATTTTCAAGGATTTCAAGCACCTGCACAAACCCTGTTATTATGATTGGGGCATCGGTATCTCAGGAGCCAGAGAGGGTTGCCCTGTGAACCCAGCTCTGCCAGGCGTATTCTGCTGTTGTGTCCTTGGGCAAGACACCACCCAACATGCCTGTGTTGGTGGTGGTCAGAGGGGCTGATGGTGCAAACTGCAGACTTGCCTCAGTCAACCGCCCCAGGGTGGCTGTGGCTACATAGTAACTCACCATCACCGGCAGTGTGTGAATAATGGAAGTGCTTTGAGAGCCTAGAAAAGTTCTATATAAATCCAATCAATTATTATTATTATTATTATTATTATTACTGTTACTATTATATTATTACTGTTACTATTATTATTATTATTGTATTATTATTATTGTTATTATTATAGTTATATTATAATTATTATTGCTATTATTATTATTCCTATTATTATTATTATTATTTTGTATATTTGTATGCTTTCACTGAAGTGCCAGAATCAGTCCATGCTTCTTACCCCCAAATTCCACTACCTCCGCTCCGCTGCGCTCCGCTCCGACACGAACGCCGGAGCAAAATCGGTCCCGTTGTAGTCAATCAGAGCAATTCCACTACTGCGGCCGTGCTCCGGCAGTGTGGCGCCGTGCGCCGCCCTCTGTTCCGGCATCCGGCAAAAATAAAATCGATCCTTAAGGCAGTTTCAGGGTTAGTTTATGAAAAGCGTCCTTCTGATGATGTGGGCACTTCCGAGAAGTACAATCTTCTGGATTTCTTGGACAGTTGGGTTTCCAGGAATCTGTTTTGTTCTCTTTTCCAGTCCCTTCTTGTTCTTCTTTATTATTTTTATTATTATTATGAATACTATAATTATGATTACTATTACTATTATATTACTATTATTATTAATACTATTATTATGATTATTACTACTATTATTACTATTATTATTATTACTAGTATTACTATTATTATTATTATTATGATTATTACTATTATTATTATTACTATTATTATAATTATTATGATTATTACTATTATTACTATTATTATTATTACTAGTATTATTATTATTATTATTATTATGATTATTACTATTATTATTATTATGATTATGACAATTATTATTATTATGATTATGATTATTACTATTACTATTATTATTATTATTATGATTATTACTATTATTATTATTATGATTATGATTATTACTATTACTATTATTATTATGATTATTACTATTATTATTATTATTACTATTATTATTAATACTATTATTATGATTATTACTACTATTATTACTATTATTATTATTACTAGTATTACTATTATTATTATTACTATTATGATTATTACTATTATTATTATTACTATTATTATTATTATTATTATTATTATTATAATTATTATGATTATTACTACTATTATTACTATTATTATTATTACTAGTATTACTATTATTATTATTACTATTATTATGATTATGATTATTACTATTATTATTATTACTATTATTATTATTGTGATGATTATGATTATTACTATTACTATTATTATCATTATTATTATTATTATTATTATTATTATCATTACCACACAGCTGACATCTAATCAGACCAAAGATATCCAAAGGCAACCCTGACCCTCCTGGTGTAGGTAAATGCACTTCTGCACATGTAAGTTTGCAACAACAACGTTTTAGCGGGATTTTCTCCTGCAAGCAAAAACAAGTTCCACACTTTTTCTAACGGTTCAAATCCAAAGCTACAACAGGCTGAGACCTGTAATCAGTTGTTCTTGTTCGGTTTCCTCTGCATTGTGCATCTTCAGGTCAGGTGAACTTCCTACTTATTTTTCCTTTTCTCTGTAGAAAACGGAGGGTAAATAGACTGCTGTGTAAACACACGCCTGTATGCTCCAGACCAGCTGCTTACACCACGTTAACCAAACTCTGATCGGGTCTAATCTTTCACCGTAAGTGTCTCAGGTTGTATGTTTAAAGTTAGAATATGGAACAGTTGAATCAAAAGCTATTTGTTTGTTTTAAATGACACCTCCAGGTGTGCAGAACCAATGTACAGGTTCTCCATTTAAAGCTATTTTTATTTTTATTTATTTAGTTTTTCCAAACCTTAACATTACAAATACAACGGACACGGATGAACTTCACACAAGGGGCGCATCTTTCCGTTAACAGAAAAAATTTCAATAAATAAAAAATCAAACCAAGATTATAAAATAGAAAACAGGATTTCAGAGGTTTAAACAAATGGTCTGTATTTGATATAGCGCCTTCTAGAGTCCTGGAACCCCCCAAGGCGCTTTACAACACAATCAGTCATTCACACACTGGTGGGGATGAGCTACGATGTAGCCACAGCTGCCCTGGGGCGCACCGACAGAGGCGAGGCTGCCGAGCACTGGCGCCACCGGTCCCTCTGACCACCACCAGCAGGCAAGGTGGGTTAAGTGTCTTGCCCAAGGACACAACGACAGCGACAGACTGAGCGGGGCTCGAACCTGCAACCTTCCAATTACG